CACTCTTCTGTTCTCTGCTGTTTAGACAGTGATGTACATGATTTCATTCAAAAATGGGATAAACACCTCTACTGCCTTAGCTTCTGCATTCAACCCACATTCCTATCTTGAAGGCATCACTAATCTGGTTTATTCAGAAGAAAATCCACATGAAAGTTATTCTGTTTTAGTGAACTTGCTTAGGATAAGGCTGCATATCCTATGCAATTCATTCTATCGCACAAACTAATGCCCAAAATAGCTTTCTCAGACTTGGTAGATAGATCTAACCGCAATTTCCACAATTCCAAGCCAAATGGTGCCTGTAAAGTGAATGCATTCACCATTTCTACCACTATTTAAATATAAATTAATATTTTTAAACATGCATGATAAAATAATGGATTAATCAATAAATATTAATATATATTTAGATAAATTTAAATTGGTTGTAGATTCTAAGAAAGGTTGCTTTAAAGGCAGACAGCTGAACATTTATGTCTTTTTTTTCAAGACATCTGCAATTAAATCTCTGGGCATATTCTCATTTTTATTAGAAACCAAGTTCGGGGAGGGTTTTTTTAATGATTTTTCTGATACCTACATGACGCAGTGGAACAAGAAAAGCAGGGACAAGAAACGCATGCTTTTTCCACAACTTCAAGGGAGGACTTGACATGTAAATTTAAAAGCAAGAGTTACTTAAATGGCTTTTTTGGACAGCCTCCCCCAAACAGTAGACAAAATTGCATTGTTTACAAAAATTTATTAATACAAACTTTACACACTTTAAAATAACAGTGCTCAAAGTCCCAGCGGAGACCATGAGTGTTTATAATCATACTTTTTTTATTCTTACCGCAGTGCTTTTGTGATACTCAAGTTGCTACACAGAAAAAGGAGAGGAAAAAATAGATAGATATAGATATAAATATTTCCAAAAGACTAACATCTAACCTCAGTGATCACTGGATTTCCAAAGAGGATTCACTGGATTTAAGGCTCTTGGCGATAGCTTTTTTACAAACAGGCGATCACTGGCCGGATGGAAAAACGGACCCCGGCGGACTGGCTGCAACTAACTAGCTCACTGACTGGCGGGGCTAAGCTGATCGCCACAAGCAAGTCAAAGGCAGAGCGCAAGACAGCAGCCCGCGAGGTCGCAGCCTCCGCACCAAGCACGTGACGCGCGCGCGCACACACACACACAGCACTTACACACAAACATACATTTAAAAAAAAAAAAAAAAAGGGCCGCGCGCGGCAGGAAAAGTTCTGCCTGCTGTTTTCGTCAGAGAAGCGGCTCGCGAGAAATTCTACCCAAACGAGAAAGGGGAAATGGGGTGGGAGGGGGAAAAAAAAAAAAAAGAAAGGCAAGCGGATGTCTTGCAGCATTGTAGGGCCACTAAATAGCCATCTGTGATCTCGTGGCGATTTAAAAAGGCGAAGGGAAGGCACGGAAAGTTGCGTCCTACAGCACATGGCCTGAACGGGGGGCGAAACTCCAAAGGAAGTTGCGCTCAGACCCCGCTCCGTCCTCGGGTCGAAGGCCCGCGGGCCGCAGACGACCTCATTGGAGCCCTGAGGAAAGCTGCCCTGGCTGCAGTACTTGGGGCCCCGGTTGGACAGAGGGTGATTTCCTGCTCTAAGGCGGGGGGTTTCAAAGCCAAGGCTAGGCCGGGTTTAAAGTCTGCCCTATTTTTCCAAGCCCCGTGGCGCTGGCTCCAGTCCCTTCCCACCGGTGCCCCAGGAGGGTTGATCGGAGAAGGATCAAGATGCCTAGCTCCCAAATTGTCAGCTTATGTGCGACAGAGGGTCACCGCCGACTGAGCCAGAGAGCTGGCGATTCCTATGGGAGGGTTTATTAGGGTAAAATCAAGCGGAGCGGTCAGTTCAGACTGAAGTTCCACTAGTCGTTCAAGATCACCTTTGGAAGGAGAATATTTTTAAAAATTGCATGCGCCTTAAGACAATTTGTTGTGGTACTCTTTTATGCCTTATAATTAGGAAAACAGGTGAAGCAGTTACACTTTGTAAACAAGGAAGTATTCTCTTGGACTGGAGGAGCCTAAAGTATTAAGCTGTTTGAAATCATTGTCACTTGCTGTGCAATATACATATATTGAGGAAATCAGCTGTAAGTGGCTGAATATACAGCCAGCATTTATCAAGTGTGCAGGGTGGGGAATGGAGCACATTTTGCCACTAGCTTTCCATTTCCCACTCCTGTTTTGGAAATAAAACTCTCAAACCTATTTTTTCAGCCATTTAAAAAAAAAGGGATGAGGGCATCAAATGTTTCTATCCAGTATATATTTTCTATACACTCTGACCACCCTAAGCCACAATTCAATCAATCCAAAGCAATCTCATAAAAGTGGATTTACACCAATATACCTAGCTGAACACCCAACTTAAAGGGGGGATTAAGAAATATGTCTAAATAGGATTTTTTTCTCTCATTGAAATGACTAAGAAATTCTCCTGAGAAAGTATGAAGAGAAGGTCAGGTAAATCTATCATTTGAAAAACCACCAAAGGTCTTGAGACACCTTAAATACTAACGAATGTGGTCGTTGGTGTTGAAGGTGCCCCAATCTATGCTGAAGAACATTCTGGTATTTAAAAAGCCATGCCCTTGATTTTAGTGGATACCAAGTGATTGGTTTACTGCTCATTTTCCTAATTATTTGGATAACTTCAGTTTATTCATATCTGAGAGTGGCATTGTGTGCAGGTCCACCATAGTCTAGACAGGTGAATGAACAAGGTTTAGCTTGGTTCCAATAGAGTTCCAATAGAGGTAGGGAAAGCTTTTTGATCACAACACTTTTATTGGATTAAATCCAAATCCTGCCAACTGAATCAGGAGATATATTTAGTTGTTCATTCTCCAGACGAGAGAAGGGGAGAAAATTAAGTACCTTCTCAGTTAATTTCTAAATAATTCCACTCCATTCCAATCCCACCCTCGCCCACCTCCCCATCACATTTCCAAATCCCCATCCATACAGAAAGATGATTGATAAATATCAGAAACTGAAGCGCAGATGAACACTACACATTCTAGTATGACAAAAGTTGATTGTATGAAATAAATTTTACTAAGCGGTTAAAGCCATGATGTAGAAAAATACATTTTAAACCTCCAAACTCAATTAATCAACAAGGAACCAAAAGAATTAAAATATATATTTTTAAAAGAACCTTTTCTGTAATAGTGCGTTAAATATTTAGTAGTAGATATAGATATATAGTCGCTACAACAAGGGAAGGGGGCCTGAAACAGTCTTACAATCAGAGCTCGCGTCATAACAAAACTCAAAAATGCCTGAGGCGTTCACAATATAATTTGTTCGTTGTTGTTTTCAAGCCAAAACAAACGGAAATGACCCGGATGGAAAACACAACATTGCGAGAGAGGCCAAAAGGGAAGGGATGCGTAAAATCTACGGGCAACACCGAAGGCGAAAAACGTGGCTCCCCCTGGCCAGGCCCGGAGGGGCGATTCCAAATAGAAAAGGCCGGCCAATAGAGCAAGATGCGAGGGCGCCTGGGCAGCACTGGAGAGGTGCACGGGATCCTTTGTAGCACGTGGTGGCCCTAAATCTCTGGGGAGGGCTCGAAGATACCACGGTGCGAATTTTGGGGTGTCCCCTAGGGTTATTTCGTGCCTTACTAGAAAACGAGTCCAACAAGGCGAACAGTCCTGGTTGGATTCCACCTCCTGATAAACTGGTTTTCTAGTGGCAGAGCGTTTCTTTCTGCCCCTCCCAGACCTAGTTGAAGTGGTACCGTCCGCTACATTGCGCGAAGCGAGATAACTAATTTATTTAACTTTGAGTCTGGATTGCGTCGATCCAAACTCAGAAGAACTGGGGAAGAGGTATTTCTTCTGTTCCTTAAGGGAAGCTTTCTAACTCCTATAGTTATTTCTAGAAAAGAAAAGTATGATTAGGTGGGCACTTAGAAACCAACTTACTCTTATGATTTGGAGGAAGGGCTTCCCCCACCGTATCCTTCCCTGAAAAATGCATATGGGTACATTTTCTCTTACTAACTGAACGGAGCAGCTACAGTACTGCACAGTACTGAGCCCTAGATCTTTAAGCAGACCGTAACGGCCCATAGTTTCTAAGTAGCAGGACGATCTGCTGAATGGGAAGAGGAGAGTCAAAAAAAAAAAAAAAACCGACTAGAGGGCAGCAGAAAGGTTCATGCTGCATATTGTGTAGCCCTGACTAAGCTCACTCTTCGGGGGGGGGGGCAGACTGATTCTTAGGAAGATGTCAAGGAAATAAGGCAACGCCTTCTCTAGCCCGATGGGGAGGGGGTTATTCGGGAAAGACTCAAAGGGGGCAGAGATGCTCTCTGCTCAAGAGCATCCTGAACCCCCTTGGAACAGAGTATTTTTCTGAATGTACAGTAGCAAGTGGAGAATAGTTATTCTTTCAACCCTGTCGTAAATAAAAATACTCTCCTTTATTTTCCATTACAAAAATAGGAATCATATTCAAAGCAATGATTGTCTCCCTCTTACTTTCCAACTCTTCTATTTTATATAAAAACGTAAGCTTAGAGGAATGTCCTCATTCTTTTGTGCAAAGCTAACCACTAAAAGACTATTAGTCCGGTCTGTTCACTAACTACGCAGAGTTTTACCCAAATCACTACCTTTCAAACAGTAAGGTAGCTGTCTGGGGATGGTAGGAATTGTAATCAAGCACATTTGAAAGGAATCTGGTTGGGGAAAGCTCTATAACTAATGCATTCTTATCCAATATTTATTGGTTATTTTATATCTATTTATTTAAAGGATTGGTCTACAAAGTAGATCTGTGCGTTTCTCTAGTGCTTACTCTTAATTTAATTTTTTATACAAAAGAAAAACAATATTATTATCAAAATAGTCATTTAATGGCTTTACTTCATACATAAATACATGTTTAGATAACATAGGAGAGTGGTGATTGATCAGTCAGTTTGGAAATGACTTTGGGGGAGGGGTGGGTCCTCTCAGATTTTTTTTTCCCCAGGGGGGACTCTTGTGTACACAGGAGTGGTTGGGAGCTCATCGCTACAAATAAGCTACTCGCCGTCCTTTGTTTTTAACTCTTTGTTTATACCTTTTACCCAGGACTGCTGCCAAGTATTTCTTGACAGCCATTTGTTTTCTGTAGCGGCTGTAGCTATCTGTGAATATGCCATCAGAGTGCCTTTTGGAAAGGGGTTCTGAGTCGTCCTCCAGGCTGCTGGCCCCACTGCAAGGCAAAGAAAGAAAAGCAAACCATAGTTGGTACAACATTGGGGTCTACAGACAGCACCAGTAAAAGCAGAAGCAAAATCTCTGGGGAGAGCAAGGAAGAAGGAATTAAAATGTACCGAATGGAAACACCTGGTGGTCACTGAAAATAGCAGTGACTAAGATCCCAATAGTTGGGCTTTGGAAAGGGACTTTTCACACCTGTGTGGATAAGCAGTTTCTTGAATTCTGTTTCTTTTATTAGCTAGATCCTTTTAACCTTTGATAAGCCTGCTTACTTTGCATTTTAGGTGGCAATGCTGAGGATCATGGCTCCCTCTTTTTCTTCCAGACCAAATGTCCCAACCTCCTCCCAGAAGGTTTGCCTGCCTTGATCATACCCATTCCTTTTTTTTATTTCTTTTTAATAACCTAATGATTTTTCCAATCATTATTTGCCTTCACTCAAACATATCCCCAAAAATTTGGGCTGGGTGGGAATTGGAATGTTTTTGTTCTTCTTTATGTGCTTGGTTGATGAGCAGCTAAAGCAACACGTAGGCTGTGGGGTGGAAACCAAGGGGAATATCAGTGCTATGCTCTTCCTTGAGGAGGAGACAAAGGATTTCTCTGAACACGCTGCGGAAGTTGAAGACTGATCACAATGCAAGCCGACAGTCGGGGACACCAGCTCATCAGGTTCTGCATTATTCATGAATAAATTGTGTAATCCATTCTCCCCTTCATTAAAATGTTGCCTTCTGCTGATAGGTACAGTGACACATACGAGCATGCTGGGCTGCTATCAGTCTAGGAGATTTGATTTCAAGCCACTAAGACTGGGAGGTACTGTTCCCAAGTCCTTCTCTTGTGCTATCCATTTAATTTTCATGCCACAAAGTCCTTGATAACTCTATACCTGGATCAATGGAAATGTGATCTTTTCTTCCTCTGAGACAGAGACCTTTAGCATTGATTCATCACAGAGCAGGTTGGGGCAGCAGGGGCAGCATCCCTAAAGGACTGAAGTGTACAGTAACTGAGGTTGTTTTATCAGATGACCTTTTCATGCAGTCAGTCTGAAGGGGTGCTAACAATTCAGAATTGCAAATCAAAGAACTTAGTCCAACTGATTTTAATGACCCCTCAATAGATTGCACACTAAGGATATTCAGATTGGTACCCCAGGGTAACAACAAAAGGGGGGTGTTAAATATTCTTCTGAATTTTGCATCCAGACTTTGTAGAGGAAAAAAAGAACAAGGAGATTATTGGCCAAGGAAGCAATATTATACAAAGGACCTGTCTTTTGCATTCAAATCAATGCTCCTTGTCCAGAAAGATGTTCCACTGAGACCAAATGAGGGAAGCTTATTTCCATAAAAATACATTTAGGATTGCAACCCTACAGTCCAAGTCTTGCACATTGCACAGCAGCATCCAGGATGAATCAAGCTATTGGACCACAGGCCAGCAAGGAGGCTGGCAAGTCAGATCAGAAATTCATTGCTATGAATGAAAGAATGTGTGTAGTGCATAGGTTAAGTACTGTGATGCAAAAGGCATTTTTCATTTCTTCCATCAAAGACATGGGACTGCAAGAGATTCAAGCACATGCCCAGTGGAAAGAAAGTCCATTTTGCTTAAAGCACACATCATCTTGAGGAGGAAGAGAGAGAAAGAGACCTCCTGCTGAGCATCTAAATAATACATTGTGGCTGTTTAATACATTTAGCAGTCCTGAGGGTGGAGTTGTCAGTAAGCCTTGTTTCTTTAAAAGCAGCTTCTTTTGCCTTCTAACACAAGCACAAACAAACAAGAATCTGCAGATAAGAGATAACATCTTACCCCACCCGCTTGGCCATCAGAGAATGCAGATACTTCCTTGCAGATAACTGGCCCAGCACTTTTCTGTAGGCTTTATTAAGTATCCCATCTGCATGCCTAAAAAGGTGAAGTGGAAAGAGCAGAAATTAAAGTAAAAAAAGCAACAAGGGGTTCTGATTACCCCATTCCCATGGACAACATAAACACACACACACACACACACCGATGGGCCATCGAGGAGCAGGGCAAGACCGCTGGGAGGGCGCCGGCATCAGCCTGGCCCCTACTTCTCCTTGGTATTCCCCAGGGAGACCGGGCCGCGCCTATCTTGGCAACGGCGTCTGGCTGTCAAAACCAGCTGCCTCCCCCCTCCCCCACCCCGTCGACTTCAAAGGCTGGGCGAAGTAGGCTGATGGCTGCCGACTCCCGATTCTCGTTTTTCCAGGGTGGGGAAGAAGCGGTAAGTCTAATTTCGTCTGCCTTCCTGTGCTGGCCACCTTTTCCCATTCTTTGTTCGTCCGGGCTGCCTCTGGACTCTTCCAGAGGGACGCCGTTGATTTGGCTCTCTCTTTCCTCCTCCTTCAAGACAAAGCTCGGGAGCGCAAGGGAAACCCGCCCGCCACACCCACCGATGTGAGCTGGGATGTAAGCGCCACCACCAGCCCTGGACGACTGTTCCCGGGCGCTCTGCTTGCAGCAGCATCCTTCAAAATATACTGCTCCAAAAAATAAAGGGAACACAAACGTATGGGATCCTATACGTTTGTGTTCCCTTTATTTTTTTTTTTATTTTTTTTGAGCAGTATATATAAATGCAACATTAAATCACCTTTTGTCCGGCGGGTAATACAAAGTATACATGTCGTCCAGCATGGAGGAAGGGTCGGCTATGCTGAGGGGTTCGCTGTCAAAGGCATAGTCCGAAAGAGTGTTGCCCTCTTCATCGTACATTTCATCTTCCAGCCTACTGAAGGAGAACAGAGGCACAAGCTTTGCCTTAATTTGTGGGGATGCATCGGAGGAGCGATTTGGGAAGGGGAAGGATGGGAGTCGGTAAGCAGATGGGCGCCTACCCGCCACCTCTGCCTGATTAAGAGGGGTATTTCCTGGAAAGAGAGAAAGGCACCACCAACCCTGTTACACACCTGCTGCTGCTGCTGCAAAAGCCCAGCTGCCCATCCCGACAAACCTCAAAATGAGAGAAACGACACTTCCCTATACAAGCTGGGAATTTGGAACCGGTTGTCCAGCTAACTCTGGGACGATTGCCAATTTTTTGGAAAGAAGGCCCGGGGTAGAAAGATAAAAACTCAGCCTAAGTCTGAGCAAGCGCCTCCCCTGGGCTAGCGCTTTGGGTCGCCCTTCCGCTTTTAGTCTGCCAATAAACCCGTTTTGCAAAGGGACAAAGGCGGATCTGAGAGATCAATGCGGTAAGGATTGGTTTTTTTTTTTTTTTTCTCAAGTCCAAAATCGCCCGACTCCTCTCCTGACCCAGATGCCAACTGACCCGCACTGCCTTCACCTAACCTGCGGGTGTATTTCTTAGTTCCCCAGGACAATGGAAACCCCAAAAGGAAGAAACGGGGCCTTGGGCGCCAGTCCTGGAACTGGAAGGGCAACGGAGACAGGGGCACTAGCGGGTTGGCCTGGAACACCAAAGCTTGCCACGAAACCAAGAAATGCAAGGTAGACTGGCTGCTGCCGGCGGACTTGCATTTTCTGGGAAACAAGGTTGTTCCCTTTCGCCCACCAGCCTCCTACGACAACGAAACTCTCTCAGGGCGCTTCTGCGCGTTTCTTGGCGAGGCGCAGTTGACAGACGAAGAACCCCAACGCTGAAATCGTTGCCTGGGGGATCTAAGAGAGCTGGCTTCGCTACCATTGTAGAGCTTCCTTCCCTTCCCACTGTATTCACCCCCTTGAATGCATACACACCCACGCCCACACAGAGGACCCTTTTCTTCCCCCTCACTTCGCCTTGTAGCCTTCCCTTCCTCCCCCTCCACTACCATCACCACCCCGCCTCCTGTTCCCTCCGCCGTTTCTCCGCTTTTAGGTCATTGTGCATCTCCGGCAGTTATTTTCGTCGGCGGAACTCTGGCAGGAGCGATCAATAATAGATGCTCCTCAAGTGTTTCGTGGCTGCTAATTCAGGCGTTTGAAGGCTGCCGGCGCCCTCTGAGCCAAGAAGGGAAGGAATGCCTCTCACCCGGTTCAGGCTGCTGCTTTCCAACGCCCCCCCCCCCCCATTCCATCCCATACAGGTGGGATTCGGGGAGAGGGAAGGACAAGAGCGGATAATCGTCCCGAGAACGGGGTGGGTGTGGACAAAGCTGGTTCATTTCAGGACAATCTCGGAGTCTGCGCAGCAGCGCAATTTGCGCTTTTCGGCCGCTCGTTCTGCGATTGCCAAGAGTGCGCCGCAGTCCCCCTTTCCGGTGGGAGGGAAAGCCTGTTTTTGTCCCCAGGATTGGTGGAAGGGGGAAAAAACCCAACCTCCCCCACCCTTTCTCTCCCCGCGCCTACGCGCCTCCCAATTCGTCTAGACTAGAATCCAGCAATGTCTTGAACTTCTTAAAGTTTCCCTAAAGGGCTTCGCAGCTCTCGGTGCTGGGAGGAGGCAAAGCGCGGGAGCGTTTTCTTCTCGAGAAGCAGCCCGCAGGCCGGCTTTCCTCGACTAAAACTGATTTCCCTCAAGTAGCTTTGGCAGATTTTTCGAAATGTTCCAACTAGTCTGCATACCCCTCCTTGCCAAGCCTTAATTTGATTAATTTGGGCTTTAGCTGGCAACTAATGTAGACTGCCCTTGAATAAGGAGGTGTTACTCAGCCAAATAGCGATTTCTGTTTATTTTGTGCCAGAAATTTGTATACATCTTATTAGCTCTCCTCAAGTCCCTGCTTTATTTTTTCAGTCACATACTACTTTGGTTCTCTCCTATCCTTCAAAGTCACCAAACCTTTGAGATTAAGAAGCGCACGGGGGATACCACAACGGCCATCCTTTATTGACACCCCTGTGTGGATTATGAAACAAATCTTGTGGCACATAACGACAACTAGAGTCCCATACTAAATCCTTCTTTGCATTTTTGGGACCAGTCTGGCAAACCAAGCGGAGTTTGAAATTAATGATATTAAATCTTCAAAGTAATAAGTAGTTTTTTCTTATTCAATAGACTTTTGTGAATTTATTTTAAAGAAGTGATTGATTTGGAATTTATTGCTAAACAATATATTTAAATTTGGGGCCATAAGAAAGTGACTTGAAGGAGGTAGTTAAAAACAGTCCTAGAAGATATTATTACAGGATAATCATGTCCTGCTAAGGCATGTAGACATGCAATCTTTTGGGTTTTTTTCTAGGAATTCCAGAAATAAATTACATGAAAAAAATAACTGACACGCCTAGAGGGAAGGAGGAGTCTAACAGTCTTCCTACATTTCCTTACAATGACAGGAAATGAGGTAAGAAACCAACTGCCTCCCGAACTGAAAATCATTGGGATCCGATAACCCCATTCTGAGAATCTGTATTAGCCAACCTTTCAAATCTTAGAAGAAAGTCAGCAGACAGAAAGCATTAGCCAACCAATGCAGCCATTTGGGAGAAAAAATTGGCCCTACACTACGTACTGCTTGACTTCAGTCTGGACTACACTTCAGTTAATCTAAATTTCATAGAATTAAAAATGTTGGCTACTACAAAATTAAGACACCAATGGGTCTATCTCAGCTCCTGGAGTTTTATTACCAGTTAGAGAAATGTTTTTCTACTGCTTTCTTCCAAGACAGGTTTCCAGCTTCCCATGCGAACTTACATCCCTGGGATGTTCTGGTGGTCTCCCATTCAATTACTAACCGGGATCAATCTTCTTTCAAATTAGCCGATGTACAGGCATCTACTGAAATAAACTGGCATTTATCAGGTAAATCAAATGGTCTGGCAATTCTCTGAAAATCTATCATGTACAAAAGGAATAATTTCATTGTACATTAGATATGGTTTCAACCCTTGATTTGTACTACCAGCAATGTAATAGATGATGCAATGTAATAGGTGTTTTAACTGCAGTCAAATACCTTCCTCTAGTAACTTCTTTAATGCCTGCCAGATAATAGGGTATCAGCAACCAAATTCCAGATCAAAAATAAATAGAGTTCTAGTGTATACATGTACAATTTTATCCTGGAATCTACATAGATATTTACATAGTTTCATTGTAAGGCTGCTAGATAACAATTGATCTAAGAGTAACATTTATTAAACGTTTTAGGCTAACTTCTGGAAAATTATGTACATACTCATATTTAGAAATAAATTTCATTGGGATAACTGGCTCTTGCTTCTGAGTAAGCATGGCCATCACTAATGCTTAGCATTAATAAGAATTTCTACATTTTTTCTTTATGATGGAGATAAGCTCAAAGATATGTAAATAACACTTACAAAGGTGTTTTATCCATTGTGATCCTAAACATGCACCTATAGAGTACTATTCTAGGATTATTTAGGATACTAATTTGAAAAGGGGAAACCACTGACTTTGTGTTTCAGTCAGGGATTCCCAAGAGATTGTGATAGAAAAGTCTAGTCCAAAGAACTCCCCCCACCTTACCCAAATCAAAATTATTGCTCTGGAGGAAGACCAGAAGAAGAATAAATCTTGCCAACTTGAGGCAAGATCTAAGAGATGGAAGCTTCCACTGAGCAATAAATTAAGCAAAACGCACGCACGCACACATACATGCATATGCACTCAAGCACGCACGCGCGTTTTCTTGTTCCCTCTCTCACACACGCATATATACACACCCCAGTCAAAATACTGTAACCTCACACGTTTTGTTGGACATTCCGTTCTCCCACACTACTAGAGGATTGCGGCTTGTCTTGAAACTAAGAGTCCAAGTGGGCCACCATTGGGGTCCATACAAAAGAAAGAACCAGGCGATGGCCCTCTGCGATCTCAATTTTTCCAGTCCGCCTTAGCAGAAATTGCCCTCCCCTTTTGCCAGATGTGGCGAAGTCGTCTTGGATGGGGGACTAAGTTCGCGAGCTCTAACCTGGACAACTCCGAGCGAGACGGCCGAGCCGCAAAGGAGCAGACGAGCAAGGCGCTCCGGGCGGCGAACGACTCTGACTAGGGGGCGGGGAAGGAAGAGTAGGGCACTTACCTCAGCGCGGGGTACTGAAGTCCAGCAGCAGCGGCGGCAGCAGCAGGTGAGCAGTAGACGCTGCAGTGCATAATCAGCCCATAGAGCAGCAGGGCGAGAAACGCTTTGCTGCACATCGCCACTCTGGGAAGGAAGGAAGGAAGGAAGGAAGGAAGGAAGGAAGGAAGGAAGGAAGGAAGGAAGGAAGGAAGGAAGGAAGGAAGGAAGGAAGGAAGGAAGGAAGGAAGGAAGGAAGGAAGGAGAGCGGCTGTCACAATTAGGCTCTTCTGGGGGCCCTGGACCCTCTCCAAGGGTTTGCCCGCTAAGAAAGAGGTTCCGTAAGCTTGGCCCATCAGGCACAGAGAAAGCTGCCTTTGGGATTGCGCCGTTTCCCTCCCCCTTTCCCTCCCCCATTCCTTCCCCTCCCTTCCTGATTTACGAGCCATTCATCCCGCTTAGCTGTCCCCAACCTGGCGTCCTCCAGAGCTGTTGCACTACAACTCTCTTACTCTTCGGCTGGCAGGATGAAAATTGTAGCCCAGCGCATCTGATCTAGTGCGACTTACCATTCAACTCGAGAGAGTGAGGACGAGACTAAGTCTGGATCCAAAAGGCTTTCTTCCGAACTTTCGGTGGCTATAGTTAATCCTCTTGAAGCATCGCTGCCTCTCTCTACTTCTCTGCCTCCCGTCCTCTGATGGGCAAAAGGGAAACCGCAGAAAGGGAGGGGGCGTGTGGGATAGACAGCAGAGCGACCGTTTGTTGTCTGCCTAACTTAAAAGGAGGGGGGGAGGAAATCCTCTCAAATTACAAAAAGAAAAAAAGTTTGCAGAAAGTAGAGCCTGACAGGGAGCGTTGAGACACCGAAGAGAGCAAGGGAAATAGAAAAAGAGCGGGCTGTTTAGGTGGGAAGAGCCCCAACTGATCAGAGCAGCAGCAGGTGAGAGCTAGCTGTGTTCTTCCGAGGTTTCGGAGCTTCTATCTTCACGGGGCTGCTTCTGACGTTCGTTGATATTTTCTCCGCTCTTATTTTTGTGTGTCTTCCAAGTTGAGGAATCTTCCGCTGTTTGCCGCTGACATCCACCCGCCTTCTCAGCTGTCAGATCTTTTGCATACTTGGCTTTCTGATCGACAGCTCTCGGTCGCAAACAGGAACCTCTCTCTCTCTCTCTCTCTCTCTCTCTCTCTCTCTCTCTCTCTCTCTCTCTCTCTGTGTGTGTGTGTGTGTCTCTCTCTCTCTCTTTCTCTCTCGTTGCCTTGCTGGGTGTCTAGCTTATTTTCTTTCGCTGTTGATGTGGCATTCGGATTTTTATTTGCCAATGACTTTTCATTTTTGTTGTTGCAGTCACGTAATAATCGGTATCAGAAAAGACGTCACCACTCCAGTTCCTCAAGGGACATAACGACTCTATGTCCAAGATGATGCGAACAGGAGTCATAAGCTTCTCATAAGCACTTGTTTTAAGTTACACTTCCTCCCACCCCATCCCCCAGCAACCCCTTCCATAGTTTTTTCAAACTAAAGTTTCAGTTAAATGTCTTCCTCCAATTTCACTTTTCTTTATATTTCTTTCATTACATTGAATTATATGTTTAATTTTTATTTATTTTTAGACCGTGTTTTTACTGCTTGTAAGCCACCCAGAATCACTGAGAGTGAGTGAGCAGCGATATACATTTTCTACATAAAGTAAACAATTTTTTAAAAAAAAACCTTTCTCACTCCTAAACTTCTTATTGAAAGCAGGATGGGATGGGAAAGATAAAATTTGATGGAAGTTAGTTTCAAATACAATTCCAAAAACATATCCTCCCAACTAAGTGACCTTTTTTTTCTTTTTCAACTGAAGACTTGCCACAATTCCTAAATACTATATTCTTGATTACAGAATCAAAAAATCTTGGGAACCATTTGCTGGTTCAGTTAAATACTGTAAAGAGGATTATTGCCTTGTCCTTGCTATAATCAATATTATTAGTTTGGGGAAACTGCTTGAAGCTATAGATTATTAGGAAATTTCTAATTATAAATAGCAATTGACAGTTTCTAGCCAGAGGGGGCAGGAGGTAGGAGAATAATTTCTTTCCTGGTGGAACTGTCCAAGCACAATGGTGCTGAACTGGCTTTGGCAAATAAACAAGGACCTGTGGGGAGGGGGAGAATGCCCTATGGAGCTCCAATATTGGAAGGCAAAGCAACGTTAGAAATTAATCAGCTAGTCCATAAGCTTAGTCCGGCTTATTGAAATGATATTTATTTCAAATTCTTCATTCACTGTTTTGATTTTTTTTTAAAAAAAAAATATTCCATGTGGCACTCCAGACTCAAAATAGATTGATCCTTTTAGATGTAAGGAAAATTGCACCAGATTTTATGCTTCTTTTAACTCCATCATAACACATAATGCAATACTTTTAACAACAAGCAATTATTTCTATGTTTGAAATAACAATGTTGAAACTATGAAAATATGAAAAAGAAGAAAAGTATTAGAATGACATGAATGCTAGTTTTAAAAAAGCAAGTTGGCAGCCTGAATACCCTCCAGATCAGCACACAGATCTTTCTTAAAATGTCAAATCCAGGAAATTCTTCAGGAAACTCTTCAAAACATCATTAGCTATTGCTTGGTCACCATTCCTAGACACCAACTATGAACAAAGATTCTTTTAAATCCACTTTTCAAATAACGTCCTATTGTTCCTTTGCTTCTGTTTCAAAAGTGAAGTCCAGATTTATTTTAAACTTTAGGAAAATGGGAAAGGACTTTTGATCATTTTAAGATGATGAAAACCAAGAATGAAATTAGCCATCGGGCTTTTACTTTCTGATTCAATTATTTGGTTTACAGGGATAAATAGGGGCCTTTTGGAACTTAAAACGCAACTCTTTGTTTTCCAGTAGTGAAAGAAATACAACAGCAGTAGGAATTGTAGTAAAATAATAATAGCAATAACAACAGAGATCAACCAAAGCAATCCTCTAATTTGTATTTAAGATTTTTGTATTTCAAAAGAATATAAACTTTTTTTTAAGAGTGTACCCCAGAAGTTTATGCAAATTTGAAGTTTTCTGATAAGAATCAGTGGGATTCTTGTAATATCGCCCTAGAGAAATTAGCTTTTTTCTCAAAGAACTGTGTAGATTTTCAGAATCCTGAATCCTTCGTGGAACATTTCACAACCAAAACCCTCCTGCAAGCTGCCTCTGCCACCTTGTGGGAAATTTAAAACCTGCATGGTTGAATGCTGTGCTTCAAAATCTGTTTTCCCCACCATACCAAGGTCTTGAAGATCCTTAAATCCATATCAGTTCTGTTTGCGCTTTTTTACCAATATTGTTCATAATTGATAACTTCATTATTCTTATGTTACTCTTGTACTAGATATCTGGAATATAAACTTTCCTGTTTGGGTAAATATTTGGACTATACAATTATTATATTGTTCATAAATATGTTCTTTTATATTGTTTATATTTTTATGTTTTCTTATCAAATTTTCACTGCACATCGTTTTTTTTCCATTTTCAGTTTGGAACTTTGATTTTTGGGGGTCTAGCTCATATTATTTTTGGTTAACCTGAGCACAATTTATGAAGAGTGAGTATATAAAAATTTCTAATAAAACTAATAACATAAAATATTCAGAAATATTTATATAAAAAAGACAAACATAAAGATCAGTCCCTTAAATAAACAATGCAATCAAAAATAACAATGATGAAAAAAGATCACAGTCCTAAATGTGCTCGTTTAGAAGCAGGTCTCACCGAATACAGTAGAAGTTCCTATTTAGCAAACACGCATAAAACTATAGAGATTCAAGTTATTTTTAAATAATCTTTGCTTCATGTGCACAGGATCTGGAAGAAAAAGTCAAAGCAGAATAAAGATTGATTTTAAAAGGCGTACATTTATATTTCATTAGAAAGACATAATTGTTAGATACACAGTCAGTCATAATTACATATTTAATTAGGCACACATGTGGTGTCATTAGACATTCATGTTCAAAATTTTGAATGAAGATGTAGTTTGAAATCACAGTGAAAATTCTCTTCTATTCCTTTCTGATTATAAGCTGTCAACTGAAGAAATATCTCTTCAGTGCAAACACTTCATTTCATTTTTGTACATGCTTTTTAGAAAACTGAAAACAAAAAAAGGACTTAGACAGACATAAAGAATGAAGTAGAACCTTTTGCTATATTTGTATTGCAGTATTCATATATGAAAAGAAATAGAAAACATGGCCCCTCAAAATCAGATTCCATGCGCCTCCCTTTAGTAAGAGAAATCATGAAATGAAATGTGACATATTAAAAGATACACAAAAGCAATGCAGAATCATCTAGATGCATCTCAGTATTTTTCACTCTGTTTCTCTCTTTCATACACCCACATACAAACAGAGTGCTTTCATATCCTTTTCCTTAAATCTTACCCTATCAAAACATTTTCTTTTACCCCAATCTGCTAACTAGTTCGCTGGTCTCTTTTCTCAAAAAAATCCCACTACAAGCCAACTATTAGAAGTACATGTGGTCTGCATAGGGATCATTACTACCATAAGATAAAAAATATTGTTTTCTTTTCTTTAATATAAACCAATTTTCAGAATAAATAGTGGATCTTTGAAATACTAATTCTTGGTTCAGATGTAGTGTCCTCTATATTTTCCTGTAGGCATTAACCTGATACCTTGACTGAAGATAGAAAAAGCAGCAGAAAGGAAAGCTTGTTGAATATTAAAAATAATAATCCCCAAAGGAGTGCAGAGAGATCGTTGTCATTATTATTATTTTTCTTCCACCATTTCTTAAAGGAAGCTGTGGTCAGGGGATTCTCGACATAGTCAAATGTTTTCTGGACTGCAAAGTCTTCACTTTGGTAGATAATCCATGTGAACTGATTATTCCACAGGATTGTTATAAAAATGCCTCAGTCCTGCAACATTCTTTCCTTCAAGATAGATTATAAATCAGAGTACCATCTGAACAATCATCATGAGTTATTATGTTTGGAATACCAATATTTATTTATCTTTCCTATACTTTGTAGGACTGAATCAAATGTAAATTATGAAGCATTCAAGAACCTCCTGGAAATTTCTTTTCATTCTGGTAAATCAGACTATTAATACTTTTGTTCTACTTCATTCTAAATGTGTCACAATACTACTGCAATTTTTGGTTTTTGTTCTGAACCTTTGAGGCACAAATTGTTTTTTCTCCTGTCTTAGTATCAGTTTATGATCCTAGCTTAGTTATAAAGCAAAAAGACATGATCTCCAAAGATTATGTTCCTTTTTAAAACTGACTCCTCTCCATTTTTCCTGTGGTTCTGCCAAGTTCAGGCTGTCTCATATCTTTTTTATTTGCTTTGTGTTTGAGTAAACTCCACAGCCTTCCACATTAAAGCACTTCATTGAATCCAAATTCAAATTTTGATTCTCTCTATTACAGGATGATCCTATTAAATCCCTACTTCCTTTTTTTTTTTTTGGTATCTTGAAAATAACTGAATCCTATATTTGCCTTGGGTTTGAATGCAACTGTGATAGTGAAGCCAAGAATTTAGAAAGTTTGGAAACATAGCTCTTTAAAAAACTGCAACCACTTAGACATCAGCACCTTCATTTGTATCCAGTTGTTTGAAATATGATTCTTTACAATGACATAGATCCCTGTTTAGCCCTGTCATTATTGCTTCAAGTACTTATATAACAGAACTCTCTTTATATATACTATCGAATGTTTATGAGCAATGATAATCTATAAGTAGTTAAGGCCTTTACTTCTTTCTGCAAATCTTCTGATTAATATTTAGTGTTTAATTTTATATTGAATTTAATGTTAATAGTTTCATTTAATTATCTGTAATCAAAATGGAACTGATAATTGTGAATTCACAATAAAATTTTCATAAAAATATTTGTTCAAAGACTTTTCCTTGTTTTTAAGCATCAAGATTCTACATGTCATGATGCCAGCAATGATACTACTGCCAGGAACTGAACCACTAAGCATTGGATTTATAATTAATTACTTTTTATGTAATTGTGAGGTTTCTGATGCACTTCCTTGAAAGATACTCTTATTTTTAAAGTCTAACAATGGGTTGATGAGCACTTAGCCAGAAAAACAAATGGCCCAAATTTTAATAATTAATCAAAAGGCCATTTCATCTCATCAGCGTATCTATTTGCAAAAATTATGTCCTTGAAAGTATTTTTGCTCCAAAATGCATTATGTATGTGAGCAGAATAGCCACTTCCTCTGCTTTTTCCTGTGGTATCGTTTAAGAAAATACTTTAGGGAAAATAGATTCTTGTTTTAAGTGTGAATAGTTTGCCACTTTGTTTTTTTTTAAAGGTGGGATTAAATAAAAGTCTTGGCTTTTTCTAGGAGTTAGAATCTTCCGAACAGTCCAGATTTACTGTACATATCAGTCCAAGGTCCAACTATAATTAACTGATTGTAGAATCAAATTTCCTCTAGATTTTCAATATAACTTTGAACAGATATCCTCTGAAATGCTTCAAATTAGAAGATATTTTGTCTTAAAGGCAAGGAGTGGATATGACTTAAACCTACTCATAAAGAGGCAATATTTTAAAATTCCCACATTGGTTTTATAAATGTATGATAGTATTTTAAGGACATTTAATGTATAATATAAAACAAACTCTTCAAAAAGATAACCTGTTACCTTGTTTTGACTTCAGAGACATTTTTTTCATTATTTTAACTAAATTGGAAATCTGGTTGTGTTAAAAATGTATATGTGCTTTCCAAAAATAAAATATTTCCAGACAAAACTGATATTGATTTAGATTACTTGTTCAGGAAAAGGGAACACAATTCCATTGTACTTTTCTCAATGACATTTTTTCTGAAATATGAGAAAAGTATAATACTCTGTATTTCTGAATATTCTATCTATTCAAGTTATTACGACAAACATTAACCATAGCTGTAAAATTATCCAGAATGTAAGAGTTTAAGTAATGGGAAAATAATGGGAAAACATTATATTCAAGCCTGAAGCCCTTCATTCACAAAATTTCTTAGAACAGTATAAAAAGAATAGTTTGTGAATTCCTGAATGAATGGCAGGAATACATTTAAGGTTTGAAATTGTCCACTACAGAATAGCTATTAATTGTTAAACTCCTAAATAAGGGCCTTAGAAGTCCTTGTACAGCTCAGGAAATTTTAATTTAGGTCTAATCTGATGAAGAACTTAGTTTTGGTTTGCCCATGTAATATTTCACCATGACAGCTTTCATAGCATAAATTTTTTTTTGTTTAATATCCACTGTAAATCTGTGCTTCCCCACTCCATAAAGGAAAAGGCCATTGAAATGAAGTCACTATTTTACTGGAAAGTCATCATCTAATAGCCTTTGCTGTTTTTCCACAGTCAAGGGAGCAATCTGTTTTCCATGTAAGGAATGCTTGCCATGCTTCCCATCATCTCATTCCTGCTGGATTCAGTCTTTTTTTGCTTGTACATGCCCCATATTGTCATTAGGCTATCATTTTTCATTTCATTTTTTCATTGAGTTTCCTTTGTGTAAGCATTGTCTTTCATCCTCTACCATTTAGAAAGGCTTCATTAATGTAATGTTAACACCCATATTATAACTCCATTCCAAAGAGTTTACATATGAAGATGTATTTTGGTGATGCTATATCATAATGGATTAATTAATAAAAAGGAGGTTTGTGCATTAAGAGTCTAATCCATGTGAGATTTGACTTAGTGAGCGCTCATGCCAGTTTTGAGGCAAACTTTACATTTACAAAATAAACACAATGAAGATTGGCATTAAAAAAATAATAGTATCCCAAGCATTGTTGATGTTATTTATTGTAAAGAGTGGAAATAGATAGACCTGATGTCTCAAAAGACTGTATGAAACCTGATTAGGCAAATACAATCTCCTAGCCACTAAAAAAACAGTTACTGCCACTAGAATATCACAATAATTTTGGATACCAGAGGGGGAAAAATCGTTACAAACAAAACAAAAGACATTTCATTATACATTAAAAGCTATTAATATATTTTTGTATCTCAGTTCAATGATCTAAAAATATTAATAGCACATTACTAATTCATAGAGGACAAACAAAGGAAGATGATTTTTAATATGTCCTTCACTATATTTTTTTCTTGTTGCTATCATTCAACAATGCTTGTCATTCCATTCAGTGGTGAATTAATACAGCTGCAAAAATGAGCAAACGTAAGGCATGATAACACATTGTCTAATGCAGGGGTGTCAAATTCACAACATCATGTGATGTGTCGTGACGTATCGTGACTTTTTTTCCATTGCCGTCACCAGGATGCATTCGGCCCACGGGCCAGCAGTTTGATACCTCTGGTCTAATAGGACAATACAGCATACTGTTGTTTTAACAAATTGCACAATATGTAATTATAAATAATTTTTAAAACTGTTAAACATAAAAAATGTTTAATTTTCTAGAATTTTGTGGTATAAAAATGTGTGGTTGAAGGACTTTCAAGTTCAATGCACGTAACATCTTCAGGATGTATAAGGTAGGTTTAGAGTTTGTACAGAAATACAAATTTACCTAAATCCTTATAAATATTGTTCTAAGTTCATTTGATATATTATTCAAAACTCAAGAAAGCTCTATGGCTGATGGCAAGAAAATTATTAACTTTGTAATTGCTTTGTGAAAGCCACTAAAAGGATAATTTCATACCACAATGTATTTTGAAGTAAGCTTGTCATCAAAAAGAAAGATGTTTGACAGGAAATGTTTTCAAAAGATTCAGACTTTCAAACTCTGGGAAAACATTTCCTTGAGTTTATATTTCACTGTCTACCCATTATTTCCATTCATTGTAAAGAGGAAATCACAATAATCATAATTCCTTGTTAATATAGAAGCACTTTTCAGAAAATAAGCATATTATATTTCCAAAAGTTAGAAACAGCCCTTAATATTTTATACAAAAGAGTGCTGGGTCTTCTAACAACATGGAATCCATTTTCATTAAAGATATATTAAAGAAAAGATGCAACAAATGAAAATACATTAATGTAAATATATAAAATCCTGCAGACAGGATATACAATTTAAACTCTAAAGGTTAGCAAAACATAATTGCTATGTTCACTTAACAAATTGATCATATTATGATTTAACATGATGGTTTGGTTTACACAACATGATATGGATTTTCATACTAAACCTCAAGACCATTTTAACTTTGTTAATAGGCTGTCAAATTCAGAGTTTAAGTATGGTCCTATATGGGTCAGGTGGACTATTTATTATCTCTAATTTGCATGTATGGTATTTCCATATGGTTCCTTCTTTATTGTTTTACATTTAGTCATCTTTATTTAATTACAAACATTCTCTCAAGAATACTGGATACTAGATTCTTAAAACTTCTGCTGCATGTATGTCTTTCAACTTCCTATTTTGCATCTGCCTAAGTAAAATTTGGTAGAGTTTAAGACTTTGAAACCTTAAGTTTGTCTATCACTCCTAGAATGGCTTATTTGTACATTCAATAATTATAAAAATATTAACCTTCCCCAAACCCTTTGATGAAAAAGTCCTTTGTTTCAAAAACACAATACAAGTACGGAATAGAAAAATAACAGAATACTTTTCTTCTCTCAGGCAGAGAGTTTTTGAAATAAATTAGTTTAGTTCCCAAAACCTGAAATTGTTATTCACCAAGCAATGATTTCTTCCTCCCCATTCCCTTGCCCCACACCACCACCCCGAAACCTTTTCTTAGCTGCAAAGACCATGAAAGTAATTTGTGGCCTTTTGCATCTTTAATGCAGGACAGAGCTTAGTCATTTCAGAAGAAGACAGATGAGTTCAGTCAGGGTCAGTACCTTACGGGCAAGTTGTTAATTAGGAATCCACACAGCTGAATTCAGGATGAGCTTTCTGGCAAAGGCCATGATGAATGGGGAGGAACAGCAGGAAGAATCCTAAGTTTGGGAACCTGATATTGCCTGGGCAAAAAGCATTGGCATTGGGTAATGTAGTAAACAACTCCATTCTTCCTCCAATGATAAAATGTCAATTGAAAATATGTAATTCCTTGTTACTATTTTAATACATCTGCTTTTCTCTCTTTTTTAACATTTTCCCAATATCTACTACATTCAAAGGT